ACAAAGACTCGGAGAGTATACTCTCATCCCGCGCCGTTGTCATCCCTATTAAAATCTATTAACATACAATTCTCCTATGAAATGAGCTAGACCACCACTTTTGGCCCACAGGAGACCCATGAAATTTAAAAAAAAAAATGATTTAAGTTGTAAATACTCTATTTGATGTATGGCTATTATCCCACTTCTCCTAGTATAATGCTGCTAATATACAATTGTCCCTTTGTATACATATTTACGGTAAATATGCAATCGTTATACCATACACCACGTTGCACGTAGGTCTATGCGCTTACGTGCAAAATGGTGGCGTTTTAATATTACTCCGTTAGTGGATATTTGACGGGACGGGCGCCTCTCCGTCCGTCCAATCACATTTAAAATATATATATATATATATATATATATATATATATATATATATATATATATATATATATATATCAAACCTTTCTTCTTCACGAAGCCTTTCAATTACCACTCCCTGCAATTCAAATTAAAACGATCACATTTTTTCCGCGAACTACGCCAAAAACCGCAAAAACTTCACCACATTCTTCTGCAAAAGGGCATACAACATCGCAAAGTTACAAGTAAGCATAACTACTATTACTTCTCATTCTAAACATTCATGCTATTACTTCATTGTGTTAATACAGCAACGATACCTAGGGTTACATATTACTTAGACTTGTGTATATTCTGGTATAAGATTATGTACATTACTGTTTTCAGGTCCTATGCCTTATCATTGATAACCGCTATTTTTATACTCCATATTATGTGTATTCCTGATATATGTTATGTGTATTCATGGTATATGTTATGTGTATTCATTCATTATATTATGTACATTGGTGTTCTCAGTTGCTATACCTCATCATAGATAGTCATTATTCTTCTATTCCAAAATTATGTGTATCATGGTTATATGTTATGTGTATTTCTTCATAGCATTATGTACATTACACATTTGCATCCCTGCAAACTTCTCAATCCCAGTATATTGTCTGTCTGGTGTTAATATTAGTGTTACCTAATACTTAAAACTGTTATTATGTGTATTATGTTATTATGTCAACTAGGGTTACATATTACTTATACTTGTGTTTATTCTGATATAATATTAAGTACATTAATGTTCTCAGTTCCTATACCTCATCATAGATAACCATTTTTCTTATATTCAACATTATGTGTATCCTAGTTATATATTATGTGTATTCATTCATTAGATTATGTACATTGTATATTTGCACCCCTGTAAAATTCTCAATCCCAATCTACTGCCTGTTTGGTGTTAATATTAGTGTTACGTATTCCTTATATTTGTATTTATGTGTATTGTGTTGTTACAGATATGTCAACCCCTACACCCACTAATCCCCGGAGATCTCCCAGAAAAAGGAATGTTGCACCTACATCAACACCTACAACCACGTCTGATCCTACACTACTACAAATTGCCAGAGAGGGTAAACGAAAGAAAAATACCGCTGCTTCGTCAAAGGGTGCTGAAACATGTTCTGAATCACCAAATGTTGAAACCAGTACAAATGCCGGTGATGCCCCCAAACAGCCTGCTGCCAAAAAACAAAAGAAAACCCATGCCAGTGCAGCTGCTGAACCTGCCAAAAAACAAAAGAAAACCCATGCCAGTGCAGCTGCTGAACCTGCCAAAGCCCCAAAGAGCATAAGAAGTAATGAAAAACAGAAGAGGAGAAAACCAAGAAACAATGATTATTTATCTGTACGGACCTCCCCAAAGCAGCTCTGTGCACTCGTCAGTAGTCTGAGCCCAGAACAGCACCAAGCTGTTCGAGATATGGGATTTGGATCCCTTTTAAATGCAACACTGTCCTTGTGTGATTGTGAACTTCTGAGATACCTTCTAGAGCGCTTTGATGTTGGTAGATGCTCAATACTTCTGGAAGAGGAGGAGCTCCTTCTAGGAGATGATGATGTACAGAAAACACTTGGCATCCCCAGAGGCCAACAGACTGTTGTGGAGGCTGAAATAACAAACAAGGACCCACAGTTCACTGGCTTGGTTGCACTTTGGAGACAGCGGTGGAGAGTGAAGACAGGCACACCAACTACAAGCCAGATGCTGAATGGCATTATTGAGAGGCGTGATCATGGAGACATGTTCAAACGTGACTTCATAATCTATTTTGTTTCCACATTGATAAGAGGCTTCAAGAACATGTTCTACAACTACAGGCTCCTGTATTCACTGCAAGATGTCAGCAAGATCCAAGACTTCAACTGGTGTGCTTACACGATACGATCTCTTGTTGACACCACCACAACATGGAGGGGCAAACGTGATGCAGCCTTCACTGGTCCTGCAACTTTCCTGATGGTATGCACTCTGTATATTGACCTATAACCTTATGTGTATTCATGATATACATTATGTACATTGTAGACTATAATTATGTACATCTTTTAATAACTTTATGTGTATCCTACTCTGCCAACCTAAACATAAACTGATACTGATTTTGAATGGTTTATCTTCTTCTTCTTTTTTTTTTCTTTTTGTTTTGTTTCTCTATTTCAAGCTGGCATACCTAGACAAAGTGCAGGTTAGAGGAGAAATAGTCAGAAAGAGAATTCCCACAATCACTTCATGGACTTCAAGTGATTTGAGGGCAAGGGTCAAGGTTGAAAGAGACATAGGCGGCTTTGGAAAGGGCAAAGTCGTTGAATATATCCCAGATGCACATCAGCCACCACCTCCTCAACTGCCACTGCCCCGTGAACTGCCACAAGGTCAGGAAGTTGAAAAGGTCACCACCGCATTGAAAAAGATGACCACGAGCATTATGGAGTTCGGTGAGGTCATGGCAGGTGTTGGGGCAAACACCTCTGTTGTTGAGATTATAAAAAATGTGTTCAGCAACTTATCCGCCACTACCAACCTCACCCCAAGCCCGAATCCAACCCCACCGGAAAACTTACTGCGAGAGGATGATATCTACAACCAACCCAGTTTCTTGGATGCGGTTGTTGAACTTGAAGCGGCATTCCTGGCAACATTGAAGAACATGACAACTGCTGATATACCCGCACCAACTTTTAATCTCCTGACGCCAACTAGCCGTGATGCTACTCCCGAAGAGGCCCCAAGAAATGCAACTCCACCTGAAACAACACCACCTCCGCCCAAACCCACATCTGAACCCCGAGCAGCAACTCTATCAGCATCACCCACCACACCACCACCACAAACAACCGAAGGAAATACAGCAGCAGCAACACTTACCCCAATTGCAACACTCTTGGAGAATATCGTTGATGACATAGCTGATGGTTCACCCCAATCACTACCAGCAACTGAACAGAGAACTCCAGAACAAATTGAATTTGATAGGTAAAACTCACATATCACTTAACAATATCCTTATGTGCATTTATCCTTGTTAATTATTTAATCATGTTGTTATGCCTACTGCTTAACACATTAAAACATGTTCCTAATTACTTTTCTGTCTCGATAAAGCATCATTGCTGAATCTGAAGATGTCAATGTCCGGAAGAGGCCACAGCGAAAGTTCAAAAACCTCTCTCTGGCTTGTCGATCCCCGTACTGGACAAGCAACATTTCAAAGCTCAAGAATGTTTCCGCCAGGGAAAAACTGATCTCAGACTATGCATTCCTGCCATCAGATGAAACTGAGTACCCTTCTTAGTATGTATTTCATTTATAACTTGTTATAACATATGCTTTCAGTTGATATACCACATTATGTGTATTCATGATATATGTTATGTGTATTCATTCATAATATTATGTACAATGGTGTTCTCAATTGATATACCACATTATGTGTATTCCTGATATATGTTATGTGAATTCATTCATGATATTATGTACATTGGTGTATCCTAGTTATATGTTATGTGTATTACTTCATGACATTATATTACTTTAAATTGTGAAATGTTTATTTTGTAATATCAACTTGTTTTGTTTGTTTCCAGTGAAATGTTGTTTTCTGCCCATGATCTGTTTGCAACGAGGGAGGACATTGCAACATTGGCAAATGGACAACTAGCTACAAATATCCTGCAAATCTGGGCACACAGATTGACGGTGCTTGATATGAAAAGATCAATTGATCAACCAAAAAGGATCTTCTTCTCGGAAGCTGCTTACGTAAGTACACATCTAGAACTAACACATTTTTTAAAACAATGTACTATATGACACACAACCTCTTCTTTACAGATGACGCTTGAAAATGTTGAAATAAAAGCAAGGAATATGGATATAGGTGACTTCTGTGCAAATATTGACTACCAGTTGAGGGAGATTGCAATTGATATCACAGATGCAAGTCTTGTAAGTAAAACAAGTATATATATATATATATATATATATATATATATATATATATATATATATATATATATATATATATATATATATATATGAATTCTAAGATTATTGAATTGATGTCTGTATTTGACACAGTTTGTTAAATACCTTTTAATTATTCATTTCAGGTTTTCTTTACAATCTTGAGGCACAATCACTACTACTTGATGTGCTTTAACATCCCCAAGTCAAAACTTCAGATCATTGATAACAAGCTAATGCCCAAGGGAATACCAAATACGAACAGATATGAGAACTGCCCGGCTAAGTTGGTAAGATAAACTAATACTCCTATTAAATATCTATACCCTATAGTTTAATATTTACATTACTTAAATTAATTAAACACTGCAATTACTATAATGTGCAGAAAACAGCTTTCTACAAATACCTCCAATCGAAGAAAAACCCCCTTGCAAGAAAAGTGAAGAATATCGAAGCTGAGTGCATTCACATGCCATGGCAAGATGAAGAGAACACAACAGATTGTGGTGTGTATTGCATGCGCCACATGGAAACTTACAAAGGGACTGTAGTAGACAAATGGGAAACTGGTTTCGTAGGGGGTGATAGTGATGTAAGTAATAATCAACTTTGTTCTACATTACACATGTTATCTCTTGTTTCTTCTAATTTTAACATGTATCTTTTGTTTACTGTAGGCTGCTTTCATTACATCGCTTAGAGAAAAATATGCAGCAAACATCATCATGTGGAAGAAAAACGAATACATGGAAACAGTCATGCAATCAGCAAGGGACAACTACAAGAAAGAGAAGTGAAACTACTAACCACAATCTGTAAAAATCAGTTCTGCTAATCCAAACACATGGTTACTTGTATTTTTGGTTCAATTTCTAGAAGTTTCAGTTGATAAACAATTATCAGAAATTTGTATATGCTCCTTTTGGTAATCCAATCTAATGTTTACTTGTATTCTATATTTTTCATATTCCCCAATATGATTTTGTGCATAATCAATGCATATACTACACAAACTGTGAACTATCAAAAATTGTACATAATCATATGAAGTAATACACATAACCCATATAATGAATACACATAAACTTTCAAACAGTGCACATACTACTAAAAAAAGTCTAACAAATATTTTGTTTCTGCTAATATATATAATCAAACATCCTACTGAATGTAAACATGTACATAATACACATATGACCAAGCATATCATTTCCCTATATTGATAACTGCAAACCTAAAAAAGAAATGTACATAAATAAATAAAAGTAATTAACACAAATAAAAATGTACATAATCATATGAAGTAATACACATAAAGTATATAAGGAATACACATAAAGTATATAATTAATACACATAAACTTTTAAAACAGCACATATCATAATAAAAGTCTATTTTATTACTGCTGAGTTATGTGATTTAACATCGTTCTGTACGTGATACATATTACTACGATGATTAACACTAACATGTGCTTTAATTATCATCCATGCTTGACATTGTGCTAACGTGACAAAAACTAGAACCTCCGGAACTTGGGTGCACAAGATATCCATCGCATGCAATATTTAAAATATCACCATCAACTTGAGACTGAACAAGTGAACAGCAGATTTTATTTTGGAAGCAACCATATTTACAAGATGCTTCCGTCCCCTTGCTTTGTTATATTTCTTTGAAGTAACGCTGCTCACCCTCCTATTCCGCAACCCTTTCATCCGCCTAGTAGATGGATCCTTTATAACACCACTTGTCGATCCTATGTCACAATCTTCAAATAAACTGCCACCACATTCAGCTTCAAGTCTTCTCTTTGCATCTGCAATTGCTTCTTTACAAATCTTCCGTCCTTCGATATTTTCCTGACTATAAACAGCAAGCCTCTGAAATTTCCTAATGATTTCTAATAACCAAACAGAAGATGCACCATTACCACTATCAACTCTAGACATTATATCAACATTATCAACTTCAACAACTTTTTTAGTCCACCTCTTCAAAATATACTTCTCGGGGACTTCAGAAACACAATGCACATTTAGAATGCGTAAGCAATGACAACACAAAATCCCCAATTCAGTAAACAACTTGCAACTACATCCAATGTCCATTTGTCTACTGTTAAACACCACTTCATGCCTAATAATATCAACATCAGGCCTCCAGACATGATACTTATACACACCATCTTCCAACATCACACACTCTTGATAGCATGATCCACCTTTCAAAAATTGTTCTTCAAACAAATAGTATATCTCAATTGTATAAATTTCCCTAGCATGCAACAGAATCTTAACATTATCCATCACCATTGTGGGTACACCTTGTGAACACCGAACATCTTCCCCATTCTCTCTACTTCTCCACTCTGATATGACCCCAACAAAAGAGTTATAAAAATCACACAAACCAGATGTCTTGGACAACCTTCTAGAAATAGAGTGATTGGTGGTCTCACTCCTTTGAGAAGATAAAATCCCACCCGAAAAATAATCTTTATTAAAAGCAAGACACCATTTTTCTCTACACCCATACAACTTTTCAATCCAGTGATTATTGTGACATTTGTATGTTGTAACCATCCTGAAATAACATGCCATAGATATATTAAAGTAAACCTACAAGCATGTCAGTATATAACATACAGAACAGACTAATGTACATAATCTTATACATGAATACACATAAACTATCAAACAGATACACATAAACTTGATCCAGAAAAATAATTCTGTATTCTGTATAATATAATCTACAACTATTCATTCAATGATAATCCATATGTAAACTAATAATAAAAACAAACAAAAAAAAAAAAAAACAAAACAAAATAACGAAGCATACATCAGACACGTACCTCGTCCAGTAAAATTCAAACTCTGCCTCTGTATCCGTATACTTCAACAAGCAATTGAATATATCTAGGAAATCTTTTTGATTTCTTAACCCTTTAATGTGCTTCTTTGAGTTCTCGCCAATATGCCATATACATAGCCGATGTCGTGAACTTGGAAAAACTTGAACAATTGCAGCAGCCATAGCAGCACATTGATCAGTCATTATGCTTTGTGGACTTTTGTAATCCATAGATCTCAAAAATGTCTTAAACAACCATACAAATGACTCAATCTTCTCATTCATCAAAAAACCGCATCCAAACATAACATTCATGCAATGGTTATTCGTGCCAACAAAAGTTCCACAAATCATGTCATATTTGTTAGTACGATATGTTGTATCGTGAACTAGCAAATCCCCGAACAAATCATAGTCTCTCCTCATCCGTCCATCCCTCCAAAAAAAACTACACAACCTTGACTCCAAATCCACCTCAAAATCAAAGTAAAAATCCCTTTCACTTGACTGCCTCCGTTTGAATATTTCAATCAATGTGTTTGAATCGGTACCATCCAATCTGTTCAATGCATCGGTACATAGAGAGTTATATGCATCCCTACTTGTAAACCCAACAAGTGGTGATCCCCCTGATTGTGTTTTAAGGAATCTTACACCATCTGCAACAGACACACCACTGCTCTTCAAATCAGTAAGATATGATATATGATTCCTAGACACCATCCTATGTGACCTTAGAAGGTAACTCTTGCTTGGTGGAACCAATTCATGATTATGCAACTTCTCATGCTTCGAAACAATCCACATCCCATTCTCATGTAAATCGAATTGGACAAATGCACCACAACCTGTACGACCATCAATTTTAGAATAACACCCTTTTCCTGTACTCCTTTTAAATCCATCCTTCGAACAATGGAACATCTTCGTCTTCATTGTTTTTGTAGCAGAACTATATCTTTGCTTACCCCTCCTCACGCTAAAACCTACTCTAAAGGCATAATCATTATACATGTCATATGCTTCATCAACCGAACACACTGACATCCCTACCAAATCCTGATCAGCTGCAAATCACATACATTTTGACTACCCATACTGTTAATGTACATAATCCATATCTACAATACACATAAACATATGGCACAATACACATAATCATTAAAATACATAAAACCTATATCGCATACTGTTAATGTACATAATCCATAACTACAATACACATACACATATGGCACAATACACATAATCATAAAACCAAACAAATCAAACCATATAATACACGTACAACCTCACTGAAACAACAACTTCAAATCAAACCATACTAACATCCAAAACAACCACAATCAAACAGAAATTCTATATCAATTCTTATATAATTCAACAGCGAGTCCAATATATTCATCATACATCAAACACAAATACAAAATAAAATCTTAAAAATCAAATACCTGGATTAGCATCCTCTGTATCTACCACTCCAACAGGATCAGTTGTATGCTCTGTCTCCGCCACATCTTGCTGCGCAATCGAATTAGACATGGCTTCCATCCAACAATTGCAGAATACGACGCAAATCGAACAATCAGGTCGCTTTCGTGTTCTCTAATCCAATATGCATGATCGGCGCGACGACACCATGTCTTTAGAGCCGCTCTCTCACTTCCCTCTTCTTACCGTTTGACGGCGTTAACAGACTAATAAAAAAAATCCGTTACATAACAATTCCATACGGCGTCGTTTTGATGCTGGGCGTACATAGCTCTATACACCGGGGTGTATGGTATAAATTGCCGTAAATATGTTACCGGAGATATAATATTATAAGAATAGCGAATTGTTGTATTGCAAGTGTTTCAGTACAAAATGTTGAACGTGTCCCTCCTAGCTGAGGTGAGGTCCTATTTATATCAAGCCCTAACGGTAATGACATGATGAGACATAATGAGGAGCCATTATTTCTCTCTCTTCAATGTCACAGTAAATGACCCGTGGTAACGTTCCACCCATTAGTATTCTGCCCGTTGGGTTTCCATGTGGTGCCGGGTCAGGTACCCGTTGACAACCCGGGTCGGGTGCTGGCACCATTACTCTGTCACCAGCCCCCTACTCCCGAGTCTGGGATATTCTTGAGCTGGCTTGGGAGTAAAACTAAATTACTTCGACACTGCATGGAATTCTAGACAATCTAAAATATATGATTTTGTTTTCCAAATCATATATGATTGTAGTTTCCAAATCCTTCTCTGCTTCTAAAATATATGATGGTATTCTCTAAATCATTTTTGCTTCTAAATTATTTACTTTACTTTTTTTATCACGTACATTCATCCCATATAAACCTCAGCATTCAGAGCAGTTTGGACACCTCTCTACCAGCTCTTGTCACCACTTCTGTAAGTTCTCGCACTCTATTTTTATTATTAATTTTCTTTTCTCTTTTTTTTTTTTTTTTTTTTTTTTTGCTTGGCCGAGACGGGCTTCGGCCTAGACTGGCCGAGGTGCGTGCCTCGGCCGATTGTGGCCGAGGCGTGCGTGTAACACCACAATTTTCTAAAACCTTATAATTAAACGCTTAATTAACTTAAATAACACAACTAATCAATCACATTAACTTACTAAGCATCAAAACAAAGGGATGCCACCGCCACAATCACCGTACCCGGTGACTGCACAGGCTAAAAAGGTACTAACTATCTAGAACTTACTACATTAAATTAAACTTGGGGAAAAAATACCCAGGCGTCTATCACCAACAAAACAACAGGTGTCTACATCTATAATCTCAAAAACATCAATAATAAATCAGAGAGTTTAGACTAATAGCAACTAACTACACTAGTCTAACTCGAGCACTCTCAAAAGCTGGGCCCACCTGAAAGGGGTTTTACAAATAGACAAATAGAAAACACCCGTTAGCACGAAGCTAAGTATAACTCCACTCAACCCTATAAAATACTACAGTATATACTTTGAAAAAACATTTGTTCACATTCCAAAATTAAGCAATCTCAATCACTTAGACAAAACCTTAATATAAACCACAAAGCTTTCTATATGCTCACAACCTAAAATATCAAATAGGCATACTTCAACGATATCAAACCTAACAACATGCTCATCATACTTAACATAGCAAAACTCCACCCTGTATAACAACTCAAAAACAATCTCATGCTAACACATAAGCTTAACAAACAATCTCATGTTATCAACTTCTCATCATGCAATTAAGTGTAATCAAATATCCATTATATGATCTATCATGTACATATCATACACACTCGCACAAACATTCTCGATATGCAATCTCGTGCAATACTATACTCAAATGCAATAAGATGCTATAGAATAAATATACATAGATGTACATATACACTCGTTTGTAAATAGAATACTTTTCTGTGGAGGTTTCTTAGAGTCACAATGACTCGCTTTCTTTCTCTTGAGTCTCTTGACTCGATTTCTTTCTTGCTCAAACTTTCTCATACTTCTCGTTTCTCTTATTGTGCGAGGTAGGTACTCCGCCGCAGCGAAGCCCTATCGTACGGTGCAATCTCGTGCATCCACCACATCCGTAGCTACGGAACCTCTATCTCGTGGGGGGAGGTGGGACCTTCACACTCATGAATGGACCTAAACATGCTTGGAAATCTAGCCGGCTTAATACTCAACTCACCCACAGAACCACTCTCTTGGTTCTTAATCTTTCTTTCTTGTTTGCTTTCTCTGTGGAATCAGATATCATACTTTTAGTGTGCAAACCCCCTAACCAGGATTCCAAGCCTGGCGAGCAGTCTCCAACCTTGTAACGTGGGAATACACCGCGTTACATGATAAATCTGTTGAATCGCAATGTCCGTTACTTTACCTTTTACTCCGAAAGGACATAGTCCCAACGGGTCCTCCAAAACCTCACTTATATTGATAACATATATATCTCATGCAATTCCTCTACTTATGCAAACTTATGCACGTAACTTCTCAACAAATTCTCAATGCAACAAGATAATGACTTTCCACATGCTTATGAGTTTTGGAAAATAATACTTAGGCTCACGTTGGCCACTTATGCCCTTTTAAAACATGATATGCTTGGAATGCAATTTACTGTGCAACATACTTCAATTCTGTATTACTGTGAACTCTCAAAAGACACATAATCATGCTTGAAATTCATAATCTGACAAATAACCTCATCAAACACTTATCAATCATTCATCATGCATTTGGAACTCAACTACATCAACTTAGACTCATTCTCTAGATGATAACATTCAAGACTAACATGCTCTGTACACTTCAATACTTGGAATTTGACAAATAATCTCTATGAATCATAACATACACCTTAGGCATGCTTTTCTAACAAGACTTAATCAATTAATGATCATGCTTCTCAATTTAACAATCAAATAGTATCAAGCAGTTCACATAGGCAAAACCAAGTCTGATACTTCTCATTTTCAAACACCGAAACATTACTGTGACACAAATGCTTCACAAAATCTATCATATAATGCTCATTTCTAATCCAAATTCAACGAAATCAAAGTCCAAACGTGCGTCATGACAGCCCCAAGGTTCCGAGCCACAAGGGACCACGACTCCTGATCCGAAACAACATGTAGCTGAGCCACAAGGGCCTGGCCACTGCACAGACAAAATCAAACGGAGCTTACGGCGGGGCTAGAGGAGCCCCGTCGCCTAGGACCGCCTGGCGGCTGCCTAGGGTCGTCCCGTCACGGCTCTAGCCAGCGGCTCCCCTCGTGGGCCGTTGGCTAGGCCCGTGACTCTAGCTGGTGCGCACAGTGTTGTGCACCAGAGGCTTCTTCTTCACCTGTATAGCATTTTCAGACAAAAAATTCCATTTCCAAAACATCAACAACACATTATAAAATATCAGCAAGTCATCTAATAGCTCAAACACACAATATACTAGCATTTCTACACATTTTTATCTACATAACAGTGACTTCACAGAGTCAAAAAGATATTGGGAATCAATAGGGTTATACCTTTGTTGTTTCCTCTTCTTTCTCTTGTGTGCATTCTTCTTCATCTCTCTCTCTACTCAACTTCCACCACCATCACTTCCTAAACTCCTCAAACAAACCACATAAACAACACACAAGGAAAGAACCTCAGAGATTGAAACAAGAAGATGAAAACTAGAAGCAAAATGAGTGAATGAATGGATGAGAATGAGCTTGGGGAAACTTACTGTGATGTTTCTTTCTTCTAGCAGAGGACTCAGGGGAGGAGAGGCAAGGAAAGAGATCATGAAAACAAATGGATAGTGAGGCTTATAAAGGGTGCAAAACCGGATGATTCCCTATGATTGGTGGATGGCAAAGTTGTAAAAAGGACTTGGCAGAGAATGTTTCAGGCATTGTTTTGGATGGCTTGTGGTCCACCATACTCCATGGACCATGGACTAGATTTGCTATTTAAAATAGTTTGGGGTTGAAAGATAATTTTCTCAAAAATGTTTTCTAGTCAAACACTTGACTTAGGCTCCTCGGACTTCTCCTGGTTTCACTCAGATAGTTTTCTCGGTTTAAAACTTGGTACATGAAATACCCGAAAATTTAGAATTTTGGAATTAAAACTCTCGGTGTTGAATTTTTATTTAAAAAGTCACCCGAAATAATTTATTTAAACACCGTCCTTTTGCAAAAAAATTTAGGGAGTAAAAATGGTTATTTTGGAATTTCTTAAAATCGGATTTATAAAATTTTAAAAAATAGTGACAGATTTGTAGTTTGACAATTTTAATGAGGTTGTTTTCAACATTCAATCAAATAACACATCTAAATAAATGAAATAATGATAATTTATAAGTCATAACGTCATAATAATATTAAAATCAATAATTAATGAAAGACGACATCAGTCAAAATCAAACAAAATTGGTCAAAATCAGTCAAAATCGAACGAAATCGGTCAACTCGGCCGAGTTTGACCGTCCAGGTCGAGTTTGGCCGCCCAGGTGGCCGGCCAAGTTTTGGCCGCCTTTAGGCCAAAACGGCAAGGCTCGGTGCCGCCTAGCGCCTAGGTGCCTAGGCAGCCGAGTTTTGTAACCATGATTAATATTCTTTATTATTTAATTTTTTAATTTTAACTTATTAATTCAATTTTGGTCCTATGATTATGGGGGTCCTGTTAATTTCAGTCCACAACTTTCAAAAGTGTTAATTTAGTACTTGATTATGTAATTTTATCAATTTTGGTCAATTCGACCAAATTATATGTCAAATTTTGTCAAAAAATATTAATTAGCAAAATAATGAGGATATTTTTATTATTTCACATCTCATTTTTTTCTTCTCGGAGAGTCCATCTTTTCCGGAGATTCTTCCCTACCAAATTCTCCGATGAGCACACTGCAAAGTCTATTGAAGTAATTAAGGTTGTAATAACTCACCTTAATTTTTGTGAATTCTCGACGAAAAAATACTCGAATTCCGTTCAGATTCTCGGACACCGATCTCCAGCTTAATACCAATGTGATGAATCAAGAGAACCACTAAAATTCCTCA